TTGGGGGCTCGGACAGTAAAGAAATTCTTCCTTACGTCCAGCCTGAAACGATCTTGCAGTAGTTTATGACCGTTCGACCTTGTCATCCCTTGGGGTGCTCTGGTGAACAGACGTTCCCCTAGATCCTGATGGTCACCCATGATAAACTTATAGGTGGCCACCAGATCACCCCTGAGCCTGCGCTTTTCCAGGCTAAAGAGCCCCATGGCTCTCAGCCTGTCGTCGTAAGGTCTGTTTCCTGACCTCTGATCATGCGCGTGGCTCTTCTCTGGACTCTCTCAAGCTTCTCCACATCCTTTTTGAATTGTGGAGCCCAAAACTGGACACAGTACTCCCACTGCGGCCTCACCAAGGCCGAGTACAAGGGGAGAATGACGTCCCGGGATCTGCTTGAGAAGCATCTATGGATGCAAGTCAGCGTTTTGGTCACTTTACTAGCCGCAGCATCGCATTGCAGGCTCATGTTCATCGTGTGGTCAATGATGACCCCCAAGTCTCTTTCGTCTGTAGTGCTAGCCAGCATAGCACTGCCGAGCCTATAAGGATGCTGCGGGTTTTTCTTCCCAAGGTGGAGAACCTTGCATTTTTCGGAGTGGAACGCCATCAGGTTCTCGTCCGCCCATTTCCTGAGCCTGTCCAGGCCAGCCTGGATTGCCTCTTTTTTTCCCCTGGAGAAAGCTTCTGGGGAGTTTTGTTTGAGCAGCACCCTGTTATTTAGCAGGGGGTTGCCTTGTGTCTGTGCCATGTTTCTTTCGTGCCCAAATTTGGCCATTTTATCACTGTTTGCCCGTGCACAGTGACTTGAGGAGCGGACTCCCCAGAGGGTCCTGTCCTCACCGAGCAGGGCTGAGTATCTCACAACCAGTGCTGGCCACACAGCGCTGGCAGCCCAAGGCTGCAGGGGCTCAGAAGGACCTTCCCACTTGCATTCGGTTCCTCTGCCAGCAAATATCTGGGGAACCCACTGGTAAAGTGTGTGTCTCATTGCCCACTCCAGAACTGGTTTATTTTGTGAACGGCAACCTCCTCTCACTGTCAGCTACCCCAGGTGACAACAAAGCAAGACACTCACCGCAGCGCAGGTGATGGTCGGTGAGTGGAATGATGTTGTCCAAGTCCCAATACTCTGTGTTCCAGCTAACGACGTTTCCCTGGGAGCAGTTCATTAGCTCCTCCTGCTTCAAGACCCTGTCCCACATTTGGAAGTAGTACAGGTTGCCGAGAAAGCCGGTGTTCACCTGCACAATGATGGAGCCTCCCTGGTTTTTGTGCAAATACCCCAGCATCAAGCTGCCCTTCGGCCTCAGGCACTTGGTACTGTTCATGGCCTCCTTCTCCAAGTGCTGCCCATTGTTGTAGACCTGCAGCAGCCCCTCCTTGCTGTCCCACGTGCAGCACACACTATGCCATTCAAAAAGAGTTAAGTCAAGCTTGATTTCTCTGGTGGTGCCAAAGAGATACAACTTCAGATGCTTGTTTTCTCCGGAGAGCCCGAGCTCTGCATCATGGGTGTTGGTGGAGTTGTTGCTTATATCGTATGAAAAAGCTGTCCAAACGCTGACATTTGTAGTCCTGTTTAGATCAATGCACACAGTGAACTGGCAGAGCTGGGGGATGCTGGCACTGGCCAGGGATATATACTTCTGATACTTCCACGATACATCCAGCTTTTTCCCTCGCAAAGAACTGGTTTCTGTAAAAATGGGGGGAAAGGGAAGGGGAAGAGAAAGTGTCAGTTTTCAAAGAGAAAACGTGGCCTCATCAGGATAATTACTGCATGTATATGAGTTGTACTCATCGTATGACAGCAGTTTATTTTGCAAGTCATTCTATTCAGTAACATCACAAGACGATCAAAAAATTAAAGGTTTCTCCTATTTCTAGTTGCTACTCCCTTTGAAATGCAAAGTGCGGGCCTCCTACACCACCAACAGCCAGTGCCTAAATGCCTGATTAAGCGAGAGAGAAAAAAACAAAGGGTTTTTAAAACCTACTAAACAATCGGGCAGAGATTTCAGTTCTGGATTTCAAATACCCCCACGTCAGCCTGGGAGTTTGGTTCAGAAGTCTTAGTGACACCCACTCTGAAGGTAAAAACTGTTTGCTAAGTTTGGTTCCTAGCTGGAAGATAGGCTGGTATCTAGCCACAAGGACCTGATTCTCTGTTCCTCAATGGACACTCTACGCTGTGACACAGAAAGTCCATAGATACTTCTGGCTTCAATGCCCTTTTCATCATTAGCAAGGTAAACTCAATAAAATCATGGTACACTAGGGCTGGAAGGGACCACATGAGGTCTCCGGTCCAGCCCCCTGCTAAAAAAAACCCATCTCAGTGACACGTCTGTCTAACCTGCTCTTAAAAACTTCCAGGGCTATGAAACTATGATGCCACAACCTCTGTGGGCCTGTTCCAATGTTTAACCTCTGTCACAATGAGAAAGCTATTCCTAATCTCCAGCCTAAATTTCCTTAGCTGCTTTTTAAGGCCATTGCTCCTTGTCCTGTCCCCTGCAGCCACAGAGAAAAATCTATTTCTATCCTCCATATAACCCCACAACCCCTCAGTCTTCTGTTCCCCAAATTAAATAATCATAGCTCTTTCAGCCTCTCCACATATGCAGAGGGACTTTGTTCAGAGGTGCCTGTGGGCTGAGGCTTTTCTTTATTGGATCTTCCTGGAAATTTTTTAACACTCATGTAAAAAAATGAGCCCATTGTTGTGCTAGGATCATCGACTCCAGTGCAAAGATACCTACGTTAGGGTTTGTAACGATGATAGTAACTGTAAGAACAGGGCCTTTTGCCAGGACTGTGAAGAGTTTGTTGGGACGGTGCTTTTTTTAAATAATTTGTTAGTCAGTCCTTTTGCCTGTAGTACTGTCCGCAGGTCTGGAACAACTTGCCTGCTCAGCCCTGGCTCTGCAAGCCAAGACTGCTACTTAACACACCGGGGTAGGCACATTGAGTGGAGGCTAAGGAGTGACTGCAATGCTGGAACTGGGATGTAGCTGAGAGACACAAGAACAAACGTTAAACTAGCTAACTCAGAGATCTGAAGCGGCTGAGCAGCTCCTTTACATCTGCAGATATAATCTGGCCCCTCAATGGTGTAAGACCTAGCGACGATGAAACTGAGACTACTAGAAGCACAACTCAAGATGCCCTTGTCCTGCTGAGTTGCCTCTTTGATTTATATTTTACTCACATGTTTACATGTGTTTCATTAATTAAAGATTTATTCCTTGTGGAAGAGAAGCGCCATGAGGATGAAGCCTTTATTACCATAACTTAGTGTTGTTTTTCTAAGCCTGGTCCCTAGTGACATCAATTACACCAACCCCTGATTGCCAGCCATATAAAGCCAGCATTGTAAATCTCTTGAGATAAACCAGACCTGTAAATCTCAAGTGATTATTTGCACTTCTAATAAAGGCTACGCACGTCACGAACCTGCGAAAGCAGCAGACACTTCTCCCATCTGCTACATGCACTTCAAATCAGAAGCAAGCGATGAACGATTGATTTGCAGAGCCTAATTCTGTAGAGTCAACCACGAGTGATATGCGGCTGTTCTAGCAAAACCCCTTTCTCCCAACATGGACAGACAGTACCAGCTCAGATAAAGAAGAACAGCCTGCTATCTAAGGTTGGTCCCTGCTTTCCAAAGCCCAGCATCACTGAACCCTTCATCAAGTCCTAGCCTTCCAGTCCTTATTCTGATCTCACTTTCATCAGTGCAGCTCCACGGGCACCAGAAACGGTTCTCCTTTTCCATTGCAGTGCCAAAGCCTAGATGTTTTCCCCGTATGGATTTAGCTGGGGGTGAGAGGTCCCAACTTTGTGGAGTGGGTTAGTGTTTTAGCACTGACAGGAACATCAGTTGGACCATTTCATGGGATACATTTAAAAGCTGGAATTTCCCTTGCTCTTGGAAAGCCAAAATAAGCAAAGGAAAGAAGCACAAGTAGCCCTGAAAACAATTTTTGTTCTGCTGGAGCATCAGGAGTGGGTGGCCCAGTGTCTAGGGTGCTCCCGAAACAGAACATGCAACAGCTGGCTCAGTGAGGGGGTTATTTGAAGACAATTTGGTGCGGCTCTTAGCTTTCATCTTCCCCCAGGACACTCTGAAATCAGCAAACATATAATTTTTGGTGAGATTTGTGGTGTCACTCTGTGGTGACATAAAGGACTGGGCCCATGCAAAGATGTAGAAGTGTAAGGAAACTTCAGCAAGCACTTGACCTCCAGCTATAGCCATAGCTGTGAAGTAGCCAAAAATAGTTATTTACTTCCTGCTACGTGTCGGCTCAGATTATTGTGCCAGTGGATGGCAATCAATGCGATTGGTTTTCCCCATCTGTGCTATGTGCAGGAAATGCAACGTCTTGGTAGCAGCATGGGAGAGCTCAGCAGAGCTGCAGGGGCAGAAGGAGCCTGCCCAAGGAAGAAGGATGTGAGGTAGGGAATGGACAAGAAGGCTTAGTGCTTGGTTGTCTGCGTTCGAAGGGGGAGATACAAGCGTGGAGGGGGATAACCAGGGGTGAGACAGCCAGGACAACAAGAAAGTGCTTTCATGGCTGGGTAAAAACCAAAGACTTGCACCTTCCTAGAGAGAAACAGATTGTGCCAACGGAGCCAACAGAGGCTAGCTCCTGCCACGCGCGGAGGTTGCCAACACGGCCAGTGCAAGCCAGGAAATTGGCAGATCTGTACAGCTGGTGCTGGGCAGGGTCTGTGACAGTGGGAAGCACTTTTCCACCTCCTCACAGCAGGCACAAATCTGCCTCGTTCAGCTGCCACCCACCCCTTCCTCCCCTTGCTGCGCTAGGAGCACTCTTCCTGCTTGCACCCGAGCAGAGGTCCTTTGCTCGCCCCCTCCCAGCCCCTTGTGTGCCCACTGGAAGATGTAGCCCCAGGGATGTGTTCACAGGTACCTGAGAGCAGGAAAAGACTGGCAGTAACAACCAGACCACGGAGCAGCTTGCCAGGAAAGCCTTGTCCCCGAGCTTGCACGTGCCTCTTCATTCTCTAGGCATGTTCTGAAAGAGAGATGGCAAAACCCATGGATTTACTGCCCCGTCTAGCTGAGCCATTAGAAGTGCTTCATGCCGATGACTGAACAACATAAGCCTCATTTCACAGGTGGGGGAAAAAGTGAAGCACAGAGAACAGAGGCGAGTGGCTCAGGATTGTACTGGGAGCTGGAGGCTGTCGCAAAAAGGGAACCCAGGAGTCCTGGCTTCGAGTCCTCTGCCCTGGCCAAGTAGACGTGTTGTCTCCTCGCAAAGCAAAATATATCCCTTTCTCACATCTTCAAAAAGAAGTGTTCCTGATTCCACTTGGGACAATACTGTAAGACTTCTGTCAGCTACATTGGTTGGTATTTAATTCTCATTAGCAAGATTCATATTTACTGTGTCTGTTTAGGCTGGCATTTTTACAGGTGCCTAGGAGGCTTAGGCACACAGTTGCCATGAAACTGCAGCATTCTCTTAGGTTCATTTGCAAATCCCAGCCAAAATGTCTAATTTTTTAAGGCTATTGATAGTGGCGTACCCCCTATAGATGCCATGTGCCCAGAAGACATCTAGAATACAGTTTCTTGTCAGAATGCAAATGCAAATGCAAATGCGTTTTTTCACTTAGATCAGTGTTTTTCAACCTTTTTTCATTTGCAGACCCCCTTGGAAATTTCAAATGGATATGCAGACCCTCTGAGTTGTAAGTGTGGGTATTCACATACTTTTGATTGATCATAGTCATCTTTTGCAGACTCCTTAGACATCATCTCCAGACCCCCATGGGTCTGCAGACCACAGGTTGAAAACCACTGACTTAGATCATTGTTCTTTGATCTGCAACTATTTAAATTGTTATTAGCAAATAATTTGTGTTACCAGAAAGACACACTCCTGGTTCTTCATTTTAAATATAACCAAGGCTGCCCTAATCAGAGACCTGCTGGCTGGTGGGTCCAACATGTTACATGAACAGATGTGATAAAGTATCCAAGCATTCCTGACAACATTCCTGGGTAATTACACCAACATAAAGTCAAAATTACTGGTTAGGGTCACATGCACAAATATATGTCATGCTGATACCTAAAACCTAGCACCTCTGTCACCAAAGGTGAAGATCTCCCTTGGGTGTTAAGCAGCAGGCTGCTTGTTCTCCCTGTCTGACACACCAGACTAGCAGTATCTGTACCAGCACCATGGCACTTTGTATGTGAGCTGCCCCTGGGGCCACTGCCCACAGAAAACTCTGTGTTTCTAGACACCAGGAACTTGCCTCTGCTCTTGTCTCAGGCAAAATGTCACTGACTTCAAAAGTGCCAAGCATTTTGGACATCAGACCTATTCTCTAGGTTCCTGAACCAGGACAGAAACATCAGATAGACGTGAGTCAAGCAAAACCATCTGCGGTTGATGGTTCAATTGTGAACACAGTCGAATCAAATGTGACTATTTGATTCAACTGTGTGAACACATTTACTTTGGTTTTCAAGAAGTTCAGTTCTGTTTAGTTCTCAGCCAACTCCCCCTAAGCTCAGAAAAGCCTGGTGCACAAGCACATCCACACTGCCCTTTGCCCCCATGACAAACCTGGCTTAGTTAAAACAGTGCAAGCTGTGTTAGTTAAACCAGTGCAAGCCCCTGCTTCCTATGGTGCTTTCAAGTTCAGGTTTCTATCCTGGTCCTGAGGCCCTCTGTGAGTTGTTGGCACCTTTTCCATTCACTCCAGCAGGAGTGAAAGATACTCAGCACCTCCCAAGTGCATTTGTCACATTGCAGGATCAAGCCATAATTAAGAACGTAGCATTTAAACTGACTTGTAAAGTGTGGGCCAGGTCCAAGCTAGCATTAATATGAGTTGCTCCATTAAAATCAGTTCCTTGGATAGAACTGAATTAGATCGCACCTGTTGCAGATCTTATTCTGTATTCATTGCAGACAGATCATTAAGAAAACAGCAAATTGTCCCTGTACAACCAAGCATGCTACATATAAGATTCAGTTCAATAAACTGAGCTAATAGTAGACGTCAAAGCAGTTACGGTTAAAAGAATAGATTTATAAGGTTTAAACTGTAGTTTAAAAGCTTTTACAAAATGCAGGGACTAGAAGATGGTGGAATACAAGCATCTTGCATAAACAGCCATCCTTACACAGTTGAAAGGGTTCATATTTGCTTATAAAATATACTCATTGCAAGAGGTATTTCAAAAACTCACCTGGCTGGGAGGCAGCAAATAGAAGTCCAGACAGATTTTTGCCAAACACTGCTCGTGTTTCACTCTCTCAGGCAAGAGTACATTTTGGGGGGCAAGGAGGAAGTCCAAAGTGTCACCTGGAAGCTTTCAATGGATCCTTTCTTGAAGGGGAGGCTATTTCCCCTTTGCAGTCTCACTTCTGAAGGTGACTGAAACAATACACTGCAGTAACCAGCCTGCCTGGCTCACCTTCTCCTTTATTGTATTCGCTGCAGGTTGATGACTCTTGCAACACCTTTCATTGACAAACCATTGGGTCCTGCCCTGTAGCCCACAGGACGTCACAAGCATGTGCGTCCCTCTGCAGGGAAAATTTGGGGGGAGTATGAGAGCAAAGTCCAGACTTCCTGTTGGCAAATGTGCGAGTAAAGGCAGACAAGCTGGGGTGGATCTCTTCTGGCTGTTGCAAAAGTGTCAGGAGCACGAGCATTACCTTTAATATCTCTTCAGCGGGTTTCCAGCCTCACCTGTGCATCTCTGTGGGGTCCTCACGTGGACCTCCTTCTCCTTCCAACACCTCCCTCACCAGCCCTTCGTTCTAGAAATGTTTAATTTGGCCACTGGAAAATCCCTGAGTGAGAGGCGGAGAGCCACTGTGAGCTGCTAGCAGTGGGTTACTTTAATCTGTGGCCATGCCATGAATGGCCAGGTGTCAGGTGCAGCACTGAGATTAGCCACATAACTTAGCTCAGGGTGGAGGCTGCTCTTGTCTGCCCTCTTGCCTGACCCAGGGCTTGGCCACTTTTACTTGGGAGTTTTTCTCCTTTCTCTCTGGTCAGGATCTTTATCTTCCTCCTTCTCTTGTCAGGAGTGGGCTTTGGAGAAAGGGAGACTTAGAGCCCTGCAAAGAGTCCGAGTGGAGCCCACCCATCTCTCCTGCTGGAGCGGATCTGACACAGAATGCTTTGTCTGTCACTCCCCAAAAAAGTCACTCTATGAGTCCTCGTCCCATGGCACCCAAGCAGGCAAGGGAGAAGAGAAAAGGGGCAGGCAAGCTGCCAAAGGGAGACCAGAACTGCTCCTCACTCCCCACTGTGCCACCAGGAGACACAGGAGCTAAGTACAGACAGTCAGAAAGCCAAAGGCTGAATCAATTTGGTCTTCACAGGTTAGTCTAAGCTGCATAGACTGAACCGATAAGCAGGTGAACAGACATTCACTTTTGATTCTGGAAATGCAGCTGTATGCTGTAACGGCCCAGGCCAGAAGCCGGGGGGCGCTAGAGCACTCCTGCCTGCTCAGCTGGAGCAGACAGCCTGGATCAAGGCTAGCCCACCCACCCTGCAAGGGACGGTTTGCAGGGAAGACGCAAAGCATCCTGGGATGTTGGGGGACTGTGAGTTAACTTGAATCTGGACGGGATCTGGGACAGAAATTCAATAAAATGATTTAACTTAAATCAATTAAGTCTGATACAACATCCATCCAGGTTTATCTTAAACTGGTTTCAGCCATTTTGAAAGTGGTTTATGTGCACTGAACTTCCACTGCTTACAGATTTGAACCAGTTTCTGATCACTTATACCAGTTTACATGTAATTTCTGTCCCTAGCCAGGGTGCAGGGCTAGAGGAACCTGTGGTCTGACCCACTGTAGCAGCTCTGATGTTTTTGCTTTGGTTGCCCCTAGGCACCGCCACAAACCCACTGCCCTGGCTTCCCCCAGCTGACCCTCTCCCCACACCAGCTACTCCTCCCCAGACACCCTTCAGCTCCGACCCACCACCAAGAGCCAGTAAACCCTCCCCACCGCCCCCACCCCCCAATTCCTGCTGCTGCTACTGCTGCTGCTTCTCTGCCTCTGCTTGGGGTAGGGCTCATTGCCCTTCAGCCAAAGTTTCTGTTCTTACACTAATTATTTGAAAGTATAGATCTAAAGAGCAGACAGCACATCCCTTTCCCCTTCTCCTGTTCCCCGTTGCTTGTTTTCATGGTATTTAGTTTAGAGGCAGATTTAATCCAGGAATTCTTTTCATTGAGCTTTGCATTAATATGACCTGGAGTGTCTTGGCCATGCTAAGTGTCATGACAAGTCCCACAAGGACTGCTACAATAACCACCAACCTCAGGCTCTCCAGTGTACAACCTCCTAGGGAAGTTTGAGAGCAAGATGCTTAAGAAGCATGTGGCAGAAAAAGTTAAACTATGTCCGTGTAACCAGGTGCACCTGAGTTCAGCATGGCCACTGCACGCAGCCTAAGCGTGGCCTTTGGGGCCCACTAGGACCTCTCACATACACACAACCTCGTAGGGTGTTTTTGCTCTTCTTTCGATATGCAAAGGTTGTTGCTGAGAGGTTGCTATGGAGATTTTTAAGATCTTCCAAACTGCTGTGTACTGTAATTACTTCTGCAAGCTTGTGTGCTGGGGAGCTCAGATTCTCAAGATGAAGAGTGTGGGTGTCTGGCTCTCTAGAGTCTTTTGCCACCCATCATTTTATCAAAATGCAAAGATTCACGTGCTCCTAGTCTTAATAGCTGCTTACAATTTCTAATACCCTCTCTCCTGGAACGGCTGTCATCTTCCCCAACTAACTCCCAGAAGCATATTTTGTGTGTTAAATGGGTGATCTTTACAGAATACCTCAGCGCTCCAATATGCATCAGTTCATGGTATTTGAAGAACATTTATTTCCCAGTTGGTCTCAGATTCCTTGATATTGTGGCCATTTACGTTTCTGTGTGATTACGTTTCTGTGTGATTACGGCAGAGTTGTGTGGCACACGTTCCCTTTGGTTACCTGCTTCTGTCACGAATGATTGAATGGTGAAAGTACAGATGTTGAACAAGCAGCTTGACTCCAATGTTCTCCATTTCTTCTAGCAGACTGATCCATCTTAGCTATACACCTATGCCCAGACACAATGCATCGTTAAAACAGAATTAAAGCAGCAAATACCAGTGTATAGATGGGCTTTAAATAGAAAGCACTGAGATCATTAAAGTTTGAAATAAACATCATTAAAGGCTTGATTGAATGTGGGGGGGAGGGGGGAATTTGGCTTTAGGTTTCAACCCCAAACTTTAATATTAGGTTGTTGTTTGATACGCATGCTCACATGCCCCTGGAAGCCGCATCCAAACAAGCATGGCTGCTCAAGCAAGGATTCCCCCCTCCCCTCTTCCACAGCATGGACCATACCCAGCATGTGGTATGCTAGCTAATGCTGAGAGGTGTCTGTGTAAGACAGAAAGGACAAAGGCAGACAGGACAGTGTTGTCCTTTTTAGACCTAATCAGCAGGTAGCTGGTAATGTCCCTCCATTCCTTCCATGGAAAAAGTTGTTTAAAAAGAACTTGAACTAATGAGAGAGAATTTTGTTTACTTGATGGGGTGCTAAATGCTGTACTAGCAACTCCCTGCTGGCTCCCTCGCTGGCCTGGCCACACCCCCACCCCTCAGCTCAGCACTGTGAAAGGGAGGGAGGGCTGCTCTAGCACCCCACCCCCACCCCTGACTTCTAGCCTGAGCCACTGCAGGCATGTGCCTGCATTTCTTCAGTCCAGAAGTAATGTCTGTGTGGTTACAAACCAGTTCAGCCTAGCCAGGTTAGACTAACCTACAAAGATTGAAGCAATTCAGGCTCAAGCTTTTTGAATGTCTGTCCTTAGCCTGGGAGATCCCAGGGTCAAAAAGCCCACGCCAAGAAAAAGTAGGGTAGCACATGTGGTGGCAGTGCATGCCACCCAGAACCAGAGCCTGGCCAACTGGGAGGCCTCCAGGACTCCAGATAAGACTGCTGGGGCCAGCACAGTTGTTGGCTCCAGCCTCCCCTGCCCCATCCGGGGTAACCTGCCACATGTTCCCCAGGGACAAGTAGCAGTATCACAAGGTGTGGCATTGCTTCTTGTCCCTGGGGAAAAAAATGTGCACGCTTGTCCGGGCACACCCATAATGTCCATACAACGTCACAGCCCTGTTGCAGAGTCCACTGACTTCTTACCTACACTAAGCCACCACCACTGTAGATCAAAAGCTTTCTGACCCTCACATACTGTATGTATCCAGTATGAGCAGATATCCCACACTGTGGGCCTGAGGTCAGTGGATTTTGCATCAGACCATGCCCCTCTCCACTTATACACTGATATAGAACCGCCGTAGAATAATGTCTAAGCCAAACATCCTCCATTCGACACACTTGCTGTAGGGCAGAGGTACGGACCCTAAAAATGATATAATAGTTGCTCGGTATGAAACATAACGTGCAAAGACAGCAAGTCCATACCCACAGGACCTGAACTGGCTAAGCTGTACATAACGTACCTTCCCACCGTTCCCTTGGGCTACTCATCTACTTCAACATGTGCTGAAGTACCTTGCTGGGCTGGGGCCCATCTCCAGAACAAATAGAGTGGATGGAAATTCAGCAGGACTGACCTCTGATTGCTAGCCTTCAAAGGGCTTAACGATTGCAGAAGTAGAGGTTATAAGTAATATATTAGATCATAAAATGTAATCTTTTAGGTGAATTATATTGTGATAGATTAGATTAGTTCACCAAAACAAAATATAGAAGGAGAGGCAAGAGAAAAAGATTGACATTTTTATAGAGGAAAATGCTTTCCCAATTCCTAAAGCCTGTAAAAAATCAAAATATATTCTGCAGCTCCTTGGTACTTGTTCCATACAAGATATTAGGGGGCAAATCATTTTCTGTTGAAAGTGTGAAATTTTCAACCGCCTTCTAACTTTGAACAGAGTAAATCTATTGCTCTATGGATGTTTGGATCCTATAATAGTGGATTGTGGAAGGAATTCAGGCAAATCATTACAAACTTTCAGGTATTTAAGCATTATTCATTTAAGAATTTAAGCAATGAGAGTTTTTTGCATCCTTCTGATGCCAGTACAGCTGGATTTTAGCATGTCAGACTAATGCACCCTTAGGTACCAAGGAAAAATAATGCCGTGACTAATTTGCATGGTTACATCTCTCCTCCCTGACACTTCTTGTCCCTGCTTGTATGCCATATGTGGTCCAGATTCAAGGTTCAACACTGCATTTATCCCGTGACAGCACATGCTGTACTGTAGAGCTAAACAGGGACAATGATGGCAGTAGAAAGTGAGAAACGTTATTCCCCAATGTATTCGTGGCATGTGTAGCAAAAGTGAGCTTTCAATGCTGTGACCAGAAAGATCTCTGCTGCTTCATTTTGTATTGCCAATAAACAGCTACGGTGCTTTGGCACAGTTCATTGCAGGTGTCTTTTGAACGTGTCTCTTTGGGTGTGGGCAGACAGGCAAATTGCACCAGGTTAGGAGGAAGGGGGTATGCTGCATGCCAGCTGCTCCTCAGGAACCTTTTCATGTGTCTACTCCAGGGGTGGCC